CCTGGAATATTACCAAAAATATAATATCTTGTATAAGTCACTTATAAGTTAGTCATAAATAAAATGAATTTATATAGTAGTTTATATTGATTAACTAAAACTTAAAAAACATCTGTGTGTTATGCAGATTAAGCTGTCTGCAACACATCAATAAAATAGTGGAGCTACAAAATTGTAAATAAATATTTGGATCTGGGCGGTATTACAAGCGTCTGTGGCCTCAACTATTTTTCTCATTTTATGTTCGCACATCATTTCGGTTGTTCCTCCAGCAACTAATGCTCATTTTTTCACAGGAACAACTTTCGTTCAGTATCACTTTAAAAAAGTAAACATTGGTAACTTTTGTACAATTTATCAAAGACATTTGAAAATAAGTAGTGGTGATAACATTTTAAAAAATTAGATTGAGCAGTTTGATGGATTGTTTTATCCACAGCTTATTTAAAAAATATATTAAAATCATCATTGAAATGTTAATAGAGAATTCAACATTTCTAAATGTATAAAAAATTTTAGTGTTTGTATTTAGATATATTTAATACAAATATTTTGTGCATAAATAAATTGTTGATCCTTGAATGTGTTTTTAAAATTCTACTGCAAAAGTATATTTCACATGCAAAATTATTTTCTCTGTAAATTTAAAACTTCACAAATAACTCTTAATATTCACCTTAGAAAATTATCGAAACAAATATTGTGATGAAAAATTGCATACATTTTATGATTTAAAATCCATTTGTTGTTATATTCCACTGATGTTTAACATTTTACTTCCTAAAAAGCACAGATATTTAATATATATATATATTTTTTTAGCAAAATGAACAGCAGTTGAAATATTTAAATTAATAATGCATGGTGTCATACAAGAAATGCAATATACTTTAATGACTTTGTGAGAGTTTTTGGAATTCTTAAAAATTAATGTTTGCATAAAATATTTGACTCCTTTTTTATGAAAGTAAATTAATTTTAACATATTTACAAAGATAGATTCATATTTATGTACATTCAATACCTTAAAGCACTTTCGAAAAGTTTGAAGCTATTTCCCTTATTTAAAGGGAGATTTAGTAGGTCAATGAATCAAATTGAAATAGGTAATTTTTCTAGATTTTTTTTACTGTTAAATATATTAAAAAAATTTACTTAGCTTGAATATTAGCTAATTCTGTATTAATCATATACATCCATGTGTAACTAAAATATATTAGAGCTAATAATGATTATAATGAAAGCTTTGATAATTTGTCTCTTAATGAAATTGACTTTAATAATTAAAAAAATGATTTGTTAATAGATTTTTTTTTTTTTTTTTGGCAGATTTATTTTAATTTATTAGATTTTTAATCTAATGATCAATAAATCTTTTAATCTTCTCGATATGTGCATCATTATAATGTGTGTGCATTGATATTTAGGCAATTTTTGTTAGTGGAGCTCCAACTAAAATACATATATTCGTTTTGCTTTATTTGCAATATGACTAATGAATATTTTTTATACACAATTTATATTTATCAATTCTATTTCATCCAACTGAAAAATTAAAACAGATTTAAAACATTGGAGGAAACAATGCATTTAGAAATTAAAAACATGTTTAATTATATATGTATAAATATATATATATATATCCATGTGAAATATTGATTATAAAAGTATATAATTTCTTATTTCACAATAATTGCTAACTGTTAATGCCATAGAATGAATTTTATAATGAAATAAATAATAAATTAAAAAAAAATTAAATTCTTTTTAGATGATGCAGTTTTGTATTATTGACTATTAATATATTTTTGTATTTTTGAAAAATTTCATTATTATGCAAAGTATCGTAAACAAATAGTAAAGATGAACATGACAAATACAAGAACAAACATTATTTGAAAGTGATACTGAGCAAAAGTTGCTCCTATCAAGAAATAAGCAGTAGTTGCCGTAAGTGCAAAATGATGCACGCACACAAAATGAGAAAAAGTATTTGAGGAGGTTGCAAACACTTATGACTTTATCAAGCAGCAGTTTTCGTGTTGTTGCTACAAAAAATTTTGAATTTCTCAAGGGTAGACCACGATGGCCAAAAAGTTCTTAACACCAAGTCTTGTCAGCTGTTCATGCTCTGTAATAGTTAGCACTTATCGAAAGAACCTACAAACAGGCGTTGGCCAGCTAAGAGCCGAGTGGCTAGCGCTCGGTACCACAGGTCTCGGGTTCGAATTCCGGCAGTGCCATGGATGTTTATAGTGATAGTGCTAAATGAATAACAGCGGTGCAGCCCTTGCTTGTGGCATAAAGATTAATTGTCTGTATTGCCAGCTGCATTAGAACAACAACAAATAAATATTTATTACAATATTTTTTCTCTTCTTTATGAAAATAAAAAATTTATTTGGAGATTTAGACTTAAGAAATAACAATTCTTGTAAAATTTGTTTTGCAGAACTGATAGAGATCAATGAAATTATTAAAAAATATTTTTACCCATGCTAAAGGGATAGGGTCCATCGCTTTTTAAATTTTCTCCAAGATACCTGTTCGGATCGAATTTCGAAGGATTTGGAAAAAGTTCTGGATCATTGTTGATAGACCATAAATTTCCTACAATGATACTTCTTTTGGGGATCCGGAAACCTTGTATTCTTGTTTCTTCTGTAAATAGAAAAATATAAGTTTTATATAACATCATGTTAATAGAGAAATTTTTTCAAAAACAATTGCCCACAAAAGAAATTATACTAAGAGTGCTAAAGTAGAAGATCGAGATCTTTCAATAAATTTTTTAGTTTTTGCCTTCTTGTTTGAAATTCTATGATTTAAAATGAATATATATATAATCTAATAAATATTAATTTGTAACATTGTTTCCATTTTAAAATTAATATGCGAAGCAGATTAAAAGTATTTTTCTCATAAAAAAATAATAAAAAATTTTTTTTTTTAAAGTCAATTCCTACTTTTTTTCACTATATTGCAGAAAGTCTTTTATAAATAATTTTCATACATTTTTTTAAGTTTATCTGGTACCATCTATTGGTAGATATATGCAACTTAAATCTAAAAAAAAAACTAAAATTAATTAAATTTAATGAATGAATTAATATTTGAAAAAACTGTATTAACATCAAGTGTCATCCACTACAAGTTTAAAAAAATGTATTTGAACTTGAGTGGATGAATAAAAAGTATTTTATGAACGATTGAAAATTTGAATGAGATATATATAGGGAGAGTGTGAGCTAATAGAAGGAATTGAATAAAACTTATTTTCTACCGCAGTATAGATGAATTTATTTGAAGGTTTGCAAAGATGGCAAGTATTATTTTTGCTTTCAAACGACACAATATTTTTTTCTGGATTGGGGGGGGGTCTTGTGTTCCATTAATGCATGCTGTAAAAAATCCAACGATGGGAACCATGAAGTTCATTTATAGATGCAAGACAATTAAACAAGCAATTATATATTTTTTTATGTGAAATGAATTATACGATTTTCTAAAATAATATGTATTTAAAATAATTTCATAAAATTATTTAATTTCTTTTCATAATTTCCTAAAATAAATTAAACGATTAATCCCACCAAATCTAAAACCTATTTTATGTTGGTAACTTAAAATATATTTTTTGTTTAAATAATAATTGGACATAAGGTTCATTTCACCCTCTATGTAATCAATAAATTAAAGAGAGAAATATAGAAAAATGGAGATATTTCAACAAGCGTACAAAAAGAACCATCTTAGCAAATATGGAACATCTTTTACAATTTAATGTTTTTTTCCCATTGAATTACTATATTGATTTTCACCAAATTATAAATAAAGCATCTATAATATATCGCATATAATTTTGCTATTATGAAGAAGTCTACTTTCGTGAAACTTGCAATAAAGAGATCTGAATAAATTAACTCTAACATTTAAATGTGAACTAATTAACGATAGAAGTTAAAAAAAATAATAAAAAAAACATAGTTTGACAACAATAAAAGTTTTGTTACTTTTTAATTATAAATCTTCATCGATCTTGTCATATTTAAATTTTCTATGTAATCACAACTAAGAAATTTTAAACAAGATGTTAAAAAAAGATGTTTCAAGATAAACCCAATTATTAAATGCCTCAATTGTACAATGCCCCATACGTGCCAATAGTATACTAGCATTGGGGGTATACGTGCCCAATACCCCCAATGCTCAATGCCTCATATTGAGACAATATGTCTCAATGAATTGAAACCTTCCTACCAGACTTCTTAAATAGCGGTCACTTGTATTTGTCATATGCACGTATTATAGAACGAAGTCAAGCATCATATTGAGACAATATGTCTCAATTGTGTATCATCTTAGTGTTGCAAACAATTTATCCATTTACAAAATATAATATTTTATGTTAAAATCAGTCCACATACCAAAGTTACAGTAGTGAGTTGTGTTATTGAAAGCTTGAGCAATCCTAAACAGTTCTTGTATAAAAGCTTCCAGATACGGTAATTTGGCTCGATCAAGCCAAGAAGGCAAGCGTTCTTTTCCAATTACAACGTCCATCTCATCTTGAACTCTTTTTTGTTCTTCTGGATGCTTGGCAGCCTCTGTCAGAAGGCTACAAATAGTTTCACCCACGGAATCCGTTCCTTCCATCGTCATGTTCATGGAAATGGCAAGAAGTCTTTCCACTGAAATATGGTCAGCATTATTCATTTTATTATGAAAAAAAATTGGTGAAATTTAATGTGTGGTTCTACTAAAGACCTTTAAAGCACAAGTACCCTGCGATGTTGTTACCCATATGCTTAGTAAACATTGATTAAATTCCGCACTTCTTTATATCTTAAACCAGGGGTACAAGTGTATTTGTTAGCCTCAAAAATGGAAGGTACCCATTGATATGTGTATCAATATATTCAGCAAACACGGGTTGAAACCTTCCTACCAGACTTCTTAAATAGCGGTCACTGTATTTGTCATATGCACGTATTATAGAACGAAGTCAAGCATCATTGGGCGCGGTCAGTACTTGGGTGGGTGACCACTTGGGAACACCGCGTGCCGTTGGCATTCACAAATTTGGGACCTAAATGGCCGAGTGTCTAGCGCTCTGGCGATCAGTGCCACAGGTTCCGGGTTCGAATCCCGGTGGTGCCATGGATGTTTGTAGTGGTTCGGAATTCACTTTAAGCCGTAGGTCCCGGTCTCCTATGACTGTAAGAGCGTCACGGAGCCGAAGTCAGACTTCTACCTACGGGTGCTCCATCACAACAGAAGCTGCTTCCTTCCCCTTCAATCATGAGTACGTATGGGCTCGTGGGCTTGGCTAGCCAAGGGGGATAAGAAACAACAACGTATTATAGAAACCTGTTACAGGGGTGCACATGTGCTTCTTTAATTCAATCACACGATTAAGTACTTTTTTGTGCATGACGAGATACATACTTACGGACTGTTAGAATATCATCGTTGTAATTCTCGATGCCAAGTTTGTCAGCATCGAATAGTTGGACTGATTTTGTTAAAACTTCGGGAAATATTATCACTGGCACACGATATGTTTTAACTCATGCGGATAAAATGTAATTAAAGCTTTTATGTGCTTAGGGTCTTCTTTTGACTCGTCGGTGTAGAACACAATAAAATAACACTCCATTAGGAAAATGAACTCTAGTACAAGGATTTCATGATCTGTGTACATGAAGTGATATCCGTGAGCATGATAGAGATACAGGATACTCGTCTGCTCGTACAGTAGAGTACTCCATGTGCTCCATATATCTGGACCTTGTAATGGAAATACATGCACAATAAGATTCTGCCTGAAGAAGGCTACAGTGCTCGCCAAATTGCTACAGTAATCATGTTAGCAGTCGGCGCAGAAGACAGTTTCCAAGTCAATAAATAATTACAAAGCCGCCGAAAATTATGACTATAAAAAGCCAAAAAAAAAAAAAAAAAAAAAAAAAGCGTTATAAGTGCAGAAACAAGTGTATAGACGACTAAATAAAATAACAATAAATGAGATTTGATTAAATGTAGAGGTAAAAATATCATTTGAGAACTCTAATGAGAAATGCGTAAAAAGATTTTGACTTTCCAATTATGAATTAAGAACTTATTACTTCTGAATTAAGAAATATTAGTGCTAACAGCAGTTTTAACAATATTATTGAAAACAAAGCAATATTAGTGATGCAACTCCAAAGCTAGTGATATAATCAAATTATAAAAATAAATACATAAACTGTAAATATTTCTTTCCACTATATGGTAGGCAGTGGAAATATTTAAATTATGTAATATGAACAGGTAAATAAAAAGAAATTACAATGTTTTATTGATTTTGATACTTATTGCATTTTTACTATTGATGTATTATTATTTTTCCAAATTATTAGTTCTATAAATTCAAAGAAACATTAATTTAAGGCTATAATATAATTTGATTACGCAAAAGTTTTAAACTGCCCCTCTAAAATTTTATTTGTAAAATTTAACTTGTATATGAGGTGTGAAAAATCTTACTTGTAAAAGAACTTTTTATAATATAATTTAATTTGACTATAATATAATTTGATTACGACAATATTACACTTTAAATATTCGCAAAAGTTTTAAACTGCCCCTCTAAAATTTTATTTGTAAAATTTAACTTGTATATGAGGTGTGAAAAATCTTACTTGTAAAAGAGCTTTTTTCAAGTTCTCCCTTTTCTTCGAGGTTCTTTCTGTCATACAAGTAGCTGTCGACATAATCTCGTAAATTGTTCGGATCGAAAGTACGAACATGGTCCTCAATGATATCGGACGCAAATTTTTTCAAAAATGCTCTGCCTTTTTCGACATCAGAACCCCAAGGAAGAACTCGAAGTGATAATCTTTAATGAAAGAGAATTTCCATTTAAGATACAGATATCTTGTCATCTATCTATTATTTAGTCTCCACTCAAACAGGTTTATTTAATAAAGAAAAAAGTCTTAAATGTTTGGAAATAGGACAATATTCGTAATATTTAAAATTTTGAATTCTTTGGCTAATATTGTTTGAAATGTCTCTCTTATGGCTTAAGGCTCGTGCTCACCAAGGCGACAAGATGCAAGCGAAAAAATTTCACCAATCACGAGCCTCACCGCGGTCGCCTGAAACCGGTTTGCAGTTCGCCGCTTGGAGTTGCCCAACTTTCAACTCGAAGCGGTTTTTCACTAGGCGTAATGCTATTTCTGACGTTTCGCTGTGAAGGGGTCGAAAAAATTGTGTCGCTTGCCTCTTGAATCTTCACGTCTCTCGCCTCGGTGGGAACGAGCCTTTAGAATATTAGATAGATCGAAAGAGAACGAAAATTAAATTACTGGTTAATAGTTCGCTCTCTGCAGTTACTGCTTTTGTAATAATTTCAATATCGATTGGATCAGTTTGACGGGAGTATCTCGGGGCAAATATGTAGTAGTTGTTCATGAAATTACGCTTCCCATTGTTACTGGAAACATAGTCTGCCAACGAAACAAGTTTGGGTTGGCTGAAGATCTAAAGTAAAGAAGGTGCGTATTAGGATAAAATAAATATTGTTGGAAGTAATTTTCAATATTTGATGAAAAAAATTAAATTTTTATGTACACTTCCCATTTTAATATGATGATTTCTTGTATTTCCTAAAAAGTTCATTTATTGTTTTGTTAAATAATGCTTTAAATAGGGGACATAAAAGCTGTTACATATGCTTTTCGAGATTTGTAGAGGAGTTGCTCTGAATTTGGTTTATAACGAAGAAAATCTGGAAAACTTTCATCAAAGAATCTAAAACATGACATACATTCAGAACTGCTACTACATCTACTTATTTCGAATCAGTGATTGCAATTACACAAGTAATAATTGAATAAACTCGCATGACAACTACAATTGTACCACAGTTAAGGATAATGCGGGAATAGTACCAATTGATAATCAGGGGAATTATTATTAGAAATTTCCGAAAAATTTAATGAAATTTTTTTAAATAATTAACCAATAAGAAACGTTGAAAATGGTAGAGGGCTCGAAAACAATACGCATAATTTTATGGGTAAATAAATATCCGAAGTGGAACAGAGAAATAATTTTAAAATTAGCTTTGTAGCGCATAAGGATTGATGTCTTTTCAAGATAGCTTTAAGGAAAAGGTTAAAATCGGATTTGTTATTTGTAAATTTAAAAACAGTAGAAAACTAGCCTTTACTTCTCATAGGAAATGCTTCATTTCTGGATAAATGGGAATCTGCCAGAAAAGTTTAAACCATCTTACTATCGGGTGATTATTTTTAGGAGGAGAATATGTCAACGCATTTCCGAAACTTTGTACTATTCCCGCATTAGAAAACTTTATGTAGAGCAATTCAGCAACCATAGTAAAAATGTATAATATTAAAATATTTCTGGTGAAAATGTTAAATCCCATTTTTGATTTACATGTAGCTTACATTTTCAAATAATGCATATATAACATGCAACATTTAAATTTGAATGTTTGTAAATAATTTGAATAATTTATTTGTTTGTAAATTTGAATAATTGTTTTGGTATGTTTATCATACTACTAAGAAGTTTAGTTTTCTTCCATGATAAAGAAATTGTATTTTTATCCGTTTTAACTTTGAGACTAACATAAATGCTTAATTTTTCAGGCATACGAAGAGTGAAATGAGAAAATTTTCGAATCTCGATTTACAACCTTCATTGATATTTTTCCACTAAAAGAAACTGACTTTCTTTCCCAAGAAAGTGATAATTTCTAATTGGTCATATCTAATAAAAGGAAATAATAACCAACCGATTTAACTATATATAAAACTGAATTTTAGAATGTTTTTGTAATGCAAATAATATATGTTTCGTTTTCATAAATTTCTATATATGCTATACTTTCCATTTTATTTATTTTATATTAAATTGATAAAATGAAGGTGAAATAATATTTGTCGAAGTAAAGTAAGTTTACCTACCGGAATGGAAGTCCAACTAACATAAATCTTTCGTCTGCAAAGACAGCAATTAAGTCATGAACAGATTTTGCTAATTTGGGAAAAATTGGACCATATTTCTCAAATTTCTTGGCAAACAAAATTTGTGTGATGACGCTATTAACAGCGTATGTAACATGAAAGTTAATGTTCGTTGGTTGAGTTTTGGTCTTATACAGATCTTCTTTAAGAATTTTAATTTCCTCGTGTATAGTTTCTTCGATTTCAAGTTTACCAAATCCGAAATTTTTTGCGGTTTGTAGAAAATGTCGTCGATGTTCTTTCCAAAATGGACCTTCTTCTTGAGTAACACCTAAAAATAAAAAGGATATTTTTGTAATAATATAGTTTGTGTAAGTAATTACAGAATATCTGTCAAAATATGAAATTTCCGACTTTTTAAATTTATAGCATTGGAAATATATATATTAGAGCTCCTTTGATCAAGTACAGTCAGAAAAAAAACTAATAATAATAATATTAATAATGATAATAAGGAAATAAACAAAACTATAAAATAAAAAAAAATGGTTACTCTTAATAACTTTCATAATTATGATTAGATCATCATTTAAATAGCATCATTGGAAATGGCTCGAAGGAAATTAATTTATGATACAATATAGATGATTAATCAAATTAATTAACATGATTAATTAATCGGTAGCACGAAATTTTCCATTACGGAAACTGAGATTTTTAGCGCAATCAACTCAGCGGAATGAAATTAGTGAGTGATATTTTTTTTTTGTGGAGATCTGATTAAACGTTTTGGAGATATAGGGGTTTAAAAATGGACTTTCTGAATGTTAAATTTTATTTTAGTCCAATTTTATTCTAACATATAATTTTAGTCCAATTAATATAAAAATAAATCCAATTATTATATGGAAATATTTTTAAAAGCATTAAATATTAAATACAGTTAGGAATTTTTAACATAGTAAAACTTTTATGCTATTAGCTTTGTAGTGTTTAGTTTTTGTCCCTTAAAATATAATTTTTTAAAATTATTATGAAAATTTTGAGATATTCAAGAAAATGTCAATTGGAAAACCATTCCCAAA